GCCGGCGGCGGCGGCAAGGACCATTGGGGGCGGTGTGTGTGGCCTTATGACACAGTTCTGGTGATGTCAGGGGGTGTGGCATATGCTAATGAGTTATGCTAATGAGTTCCCCTAGCTCTTTTTCTACGAAACGACCCCTGGTCAGGTCTACTTACCTGGCCAGCGAGGGGTGGGAGGGAGCCTTCCAGGAGTGGAGAGGGTGGGGTGGCAGCACTGTGCTTGACATCATTGGCACAATGACATCATACAGAAGCGACATCATCACACCGGGCACATCGGGTGGCAAAGCTCTAGCATTTTGGTCAAAACTCCATAGTTACCATATGCTAGAGCATCACTGCGTGACATGCCCAGCGTGACAACATCACTTTGTGTGACATCATCGTGCCGATCTCGTCAGTGCAGAAGGGGGCAGTTTGGGGAATGCAAGATGCTCATGGGCCCCAGGAAAACTAGTTTTAAAAAAATGGCCTATGCACCATTGAAACTGAGTGAGCAATATTTTAAACAAGAGAGGCTAGGCCATACTGAGGAGTTTTAGCAGTTGGTACAGGAAAGACAGAGCAGGAGAAGACAAAAAGGCACACTTTTGATGGACATATGTGTTCTCATTCCTTACCAACATCTACCGTTCCAATGTCAACCCACATCTTAGCACATAAGGCTCCAAGGAGAAATCCAAAAGTTGGTCCAAACAACCCAGATGATCTTACAGCTCCTGTAAAAGATGTTCAAACATAAACCAAGGACCTTCTTTCGTCCCTCGTAGAAGACGGATGGAGGAGCTATGTGGTCAGAGTGACAGACTCCAAATAGGGAGAGTCAGGCTGATATCCCCACAGGGCCATGAAAGTCATTCTGCAATGGAACTTCCTTCAGCCCAACCTGCACTCACAGGGTTGTTTTAAACTGCGGAGGAGTAAAAAACTGAGTTTCAGCAATCACACACACTAAATAATCCACTTTCAATGCACTTTCCAACTGAATGTTGTCAGTTCACACAGTAAAATCCGGTTGGAAAGTGCATTGAAAGTGGATTATTTAATGTGTGTGATCACAGGGAAAGCAGGGTAAAAATCATCAACAACATGAGTTCTTAAGGTTCCCAGGTTGTGCCTAGCAACTGGCAGGAACTTGAGAGGTGGGGACACGGGTGTATGTGGTGTCATAACATCCCTTCTGGAATGACATCCCTTCTGGAAAACCAGGAAGTGATATCATGTCACTCTAGGAATCATCAGAAACTCTATGGTAATACTACAACGTTTCTAGTGATTCCTAGAACTACATGATACCATATCTGGGTTTTCCCCAGAAGTGATGTCAAATTACACATGATGCCGGTTTGTTTGGGTTTTTTCCTCCCACCACCACTTGGACTGGTGACTGGCAATAAAGGTTGCCTGTGGGAGGCGTCCTGTCATAATGGGAAGCCTAGCAACCCAGACTGTACTCTTTGGCTGGAATGGAAAAACTTTCAACAACTTGATGTGCAAGCTTAATGAAAAGATCTGGTTGATCTGGGATACCATTAGGGATGCCAGTTGCTTGGAGGTGGAGGGTAATTTCCCAGCCTCAGGCTGTAAACCCTATTGGGGCTCTTCACTCTGGCATGCACAAAATTGAGAGGCAGGAAGTAACACCATGTAACTTAGTGGCATCACTTCAGGTTGCAGTCAAAAGTAATGTTGCAAATTCCTCAAGTCTCTATGGTTTTAGGACAGAGATCAAGGGATTCCTGGAGCATTGTGACTTCATTTCTGTGTACTCAACCGGAAGTGACATCATGAATGTTACGCAACATAACTTCCCATGTCCCTGCCCCTGCAAATACTCCTATTGGTAACAGTACCAAGTGCTGTGTTGGATTCCTTTGTAACTAAAGGATCCCAGTTGTAGGAATAGGACCTCAGTTCAAAAGTTCAATGAAAGTGAAACTTTTTTTTATACTTTTACTGTCTTCAGTGTTTTGTTCGAACTGCAAAAGGTCTGCACATCTCCACTAAGTTACAGAGGTGCTCCTCAATTTTTGTCATATGGCACTAAGAGCAACCACACTTGTAACTTCGGTATGTGACCTTGCACTTTGGATGTTACATGGTCTGCACATCTCCACTAAGAGGTGCTCCTCAATTTTTGTCATACGGCACTAAGAGCAACCACACTTGTCACTTCGGGTATGTGACCTTGCACTTTGGATGTTACATTTCAAGGCAGCCCGCCAACCCTAGTAGTAATCTTGAGGGCCAGCCCAAGGATTTTGAGGCACCCTAGGTGATTTCACTGCTGCCACCACCCTGCCTAGAGCTGACACGTCACGGTAGACCCCAATGCTGTGGGTGGGCTGGACGGTGACAGGGCTGGTTTTGCATCCTCTCCACCTTTGGTGCCCTAGGCGATTGCCTCAGTGTTCCTAATGGATAGGCCAGCACCGGTAATATCACATTTGGCTCTTTGTGTGGGCGAGTACAATCTGTTCCTGCTCTAAGAGGCAAGCCAAGGTTTCAGGAGACTGTGAAAAGGGGATGATGATGATGATGATAATGCCTTGTTTGTAGTATAGCCAGGAGATCCTAAGATTTCCGGCAGCCAGAAGTTCTAGCTCTTTTTTTAGCATTATGCACCACTGGGTGTAGTTTGGTGTAGTGGTTAAGTGCGCGGACCCTAATCTGGGAGAACAGGGTTTGATTCCCCACTTCACCACTTGCACCTGGCTGGATGCCCTTGGGCAAGCGATAGCTCTGATAAGAGCTGTTTTTGAAAAATGGCAGTTTCTGTCAGAGCTCTCTGATCCCTGCCTACCTGACAGGGTGTCTGTTGTGGGGAGGGGAAGGGAAAGGAGTTTGTAAGCCGTTCTGAGACACCTTTGGGTAGTGAAGGGTGGGGTATAAATCCAATCTCTTCTCTTCTTCTCTGGGTGGCAAGCTAGACATGGTTTTTAAGGCAAGAGATGTTTCAGAGGTGGTTTGCCATTGCCTGCCTCTGTGTCACAAGTACTCTGGTATTCCTTGGAGTTCACCCTTCCAAATACTACCTAGGCTGACCCTGCTTAGCTTCCAAGGCTGCGGTCACACACACTAAATCATCCACTTTCAATCCACTTTCCAACTGGGTTTTGCCAGTTCACACAGTAAAAACCCAGTTGGAAAGTGCACTGAACGTGGGTTGAAAGTGGATCATTTGGCATGTGTGACCACGGCCCAAGATATGTCAAGATTGGGCTAGCCTGAGCTATCCAGTTCAGGGTTGTGGAAAGAGAAGATCTGTGAGCTATGATTAGATTGGAATTCTTCTTTAATTCCACCCTTGAAAGAAGTCAGCAATCCAGTTTATGGGAGGGGCCCCTTGAAGAAGCAATGAAGAGTAGGATGGGCCCGGACGTTTGCTTATGCTCACACATACACACACACAGAGAGAGAGAGAGAGAGAGAGAGGGAGAGAGAGAACTATATTTGGCTTTTGTGCCTCTAGTAGCTAATCGCTATCACACAATCAGCAGCTGACAGAGACTGCGGCCTAGGAGGTTGTTCCCGCCCCAGTTCTGAGGAAAAATGCTCATGTAGTTTACCTATATAAAAGGCGGAGTTTTCTTCTCTGGCAAAATCATCGATGTACGAGAGGCCCAGAGGCATGATGGGCGCTTCCCCGATTCCACGTAGAATGTTCCCGAAGAGAACAAAGAGCCAGAGGTAGGAAGCTCTTTGTTTTACACACCCTGCGGGGCGACAGAAGTGGCACAGACTGTAGAACAGAAACACTGAGGGACTGAGAACAGAAAACCCCAAAGTTATTATTTTTTTAATGGGAGCAGAGGCTGAAACACTGGCCTACTGTTACAGTTCCAACTGTAGTGTTCCCTCTAAGCTGACTTAGTGTGAGCTAGAGCACAGTTTTTTAGCCTCCGGCTCACACATTTTTGCCCTAGCTCAGGAAGGATGGCTCCAGAGCATCACTGGCTCACAACTTTAATGCCAGTAGCTCACAAAGTAGAATTTTTCCTCACAAGACTCCACAGGTTAGAGGGACCATTGGTTCCAAGGATGTGTGTGAATAGAGGCCCAATTCAAGGATGAAAAGCCAAGGAACGGGACATCTGCTTGGGCTTTTTAGACTTGCATGATCTAGGTCCACACCCTGGCTTGGCTAGTGATTCAGACAATGGTCGTACTGGGAAGGTTGAGATCAGGGGCAGAATAAGGCTCACTGGTGCCCTAAAGCACTGACCAGTCTTGGTGCCCCCCTCCTTTCCACACTGACCCTGTTCATTTTAGTTGCTGACCTGTCTGACCAGATATACAATGCAGGTTGCAGCAATACAAAAATTTATTCATATAACACAATGTTGTTCAGTCGCACAGTCGAGTCCGACTCTTTGCGACCCCATGGACCACATCACGCCAGGCCTTCCTGTCTTTCGCCGTCCTCTGAAGTTTGCTCAATTTCATGTTCGTTGCATCTATGGCACTGTCTAACCATCTCAATTCTAACAATTCTTAACCGTTCAAATATTTGTCATATTCAAACACTCTTATGATTTCTTAAAGGGTTAGGATCCAACAGTAGTTGTTGTTCAGTCACACAGTCGAGTTCGACTCTTTGCGACCCCATGGACCAGATCACGCCAGGCCTTCCGGTCTTCCGCTGTCCTCTGAAGTTTGCTCAATTTCATGTTCGTTGCATCGGTGACACTGTCTAACCATCTCATCCTTTGCCGTCCTCGTCTTCTTTGACCTTCAATCTTTCCCAGCATCAGGGTCTTCTCCAGTGAGTGCTCCCTTCTCATTGGGTGGCCAAAGTATTTGAGCTTCAGTTTCATTATCTGGCCTTCCAGGGAACAGTCAGGGTTGATTTCTTTTGGGATTGACTCATTTGATCTGCTTGCAGTCCAAGGGACTCTCAAGAGTCTTCTCCAGCACCATAGTTCAAAAGAATCTATTCTTCGGCGCTCGGCCTTCCTTATAGTCCAACTCTCGCAGCCATACATGACTACTGAAAGACTATTGAAAGAGGTAGTCAATCTTTAAAGGTACAATTGTGGTCTTAGGGTACTGTCTCAGTGATGATCTGGTTCTTATAGATCCACATGGGTCAATGCAGGGGTAATTCATGAGGACAACCAGATGGATTTCACCTAGAGAACTGGTGTTGAGTAGTGATGGGCATGAACTGGGAAAATGTGGTATGGTTCATGGTATGCCAGCTTCATGAACCATGAAACATCACAAATAAACCAGTTTCATTTGTGAGGTTTGTGACATGGTAGAACACCCCTCAGCATGATAGAGACACCAAACTCACAAGGGATATCCGGCTAACCCACCTCTACCTACATGCCAAGGTTGGTGAGGATTGAATTTATGGGGTTCGAGTTATGGCTCCCCCAAAGAAGGTGTCCCCAGGAAAGCATTTTCTGGGGAAATGACAAGCACAGGTTCATGAGGGTCAGGATTGTATAGAATGGATCCTGTGCAAATTAAAGATGCCAAACATGCAAGAGATCTCCAGATGACTCTCCTCTACTTGCCCTCCAAGTTTGATGAGGATTGGATTTATGGGGTCCAAGTTACAGCCCCCCAAAGAAGGTGCTCCTATGGAGGGAAAAACAGCAAAAAAGCAAGGACAACAGAAGCCATGCAGAACAGAATCGAAGTCCCAGAGAATCTCTGCAGTAGAAACTGAAGGTTGGAGGCATTTTTGCAAGCCCAGCAGAACCAGTGCAATGTGCCCAGCAGAACTAGTGCCACTGTGGCACTGTGAACCCAACAGGACTAAGGTCAAGTCAGGGAAGTGTTTTTTGGGGGGACATGTCAGACACAGGTTCAAAAGTATATAGAATGGACCCCCTGCAAGTTACACACACCAAATGCACAGGGAACCTCACCCTGCCACCTGCTCTTTTACAATCTCTTCAAGTTGGGGGTGGATTACATTTCTGGCGTCCCAGTTACAGACTCCCCCAAAAAGTCTCTCCAATGCTCTTTCCAGAAAAGACAGCTGCAGTTACAGGAGTCTATGGAACAGCTCAGAAATAAGACAGCAAACTCACAGGGAAAGTTCACCTGGGCAGACCCCCCCATCAGACAGTGGAACCAAGGCAAGCATCCCCCCTATGCTTGCAACCCCC